GTCGGACTTATACTAATTAATATTAAGTCCTATATTATTATAACATAATATAGTATTATTTATAAAATATATATTAGATAAATGTTAAGGGGGAAGAATGAAACAGGAAAGGGATATAGGAATATGTACAGGGCTGTATTGTTAGGATGCCTTGGGAAAGCCTCACTGAGAACAAAGTGAGGAAGTAGTCCATATCTGGGGACGTGGAGCCCCATCTGGGGACATTTGAGGCAGAGAGATCAGTAAGTGCAAAGGCCCTGAGGCCTTTGTGTTGAAGCAGTCAGGATCCACAAGGAGGCCGGTGTGGCTGGAGTGGAGTGAGCTGGGGTGAGGAGGAGTAGGTGAAGCCACTGAAGTGTCCAGGCAGCCAGGTCATGTAAGGCCTTGTGGCTTTTATCAAGAGTGATGGAAAGTCATCGAAGGTGTGAGCCAAGGAACAGTGATGGGACCGGCATTCCGGGGCAGTTTGGTGCGAGTAGAGGTTTGGAAGAGGTGGGGAGGGTACAGGGCAAGGCAGAAAACCTTAAAAACCTTAGTGAAGGTTTTGGCCTATACCCTAAAAACCACAGGGCACCAGTGAAATTTTTAAGATTAACTTACTTTTAATTGTTGCCAAATTTACACACCATAAAATTTACCATCTTAGCCATTTTTAATTGTACAGGTCAGTCGCCGTAAGTATATTCACATGGTCGTATAGCCAAGTGCAAACCTCTTTTCATCTTGCCCTGTGCCCATGTAAACAATTCCCCATGCACCCCGCTCCCCTCAGCCCTTGGCAACTGTCATTCTACTTCCTGTCCCTAGGAAGTTGACTACTCCAGGTACATCATATAAATGGAATCCTACAGCATGATACCTGCTTTTGTGTGTGTGTGTGTGTGTGTGTGTGTGTGTGTGACTGGCTTATTTCACTTTGCATACTATCCTCAAGGTTCATTCATGTTGTTACATGTGTCAGAATCTCTTTCCTTTTTAAGGTCAATATTTTATTATGCATATGGGTCACATTTTGCTTACCCATTCACCTGTCAGGGGACACTTGGATTGCTTCCACCTGTTAGCTATGGTGAATAATACTACTCTGAACACGGGCATGCAAATATCTTTTGGAGACCCTACTTCCAATTCTTCTGAGTATGTACCCAGAAGTGGGATTGCTAAGTCACCAGGTAATTCTATTTTTTGAGCAAATGCCATGCCGTTCTCCATCACGGCTGCACCCTTTTATATTCCCACTAACCGTGCAGGAGGACTTCACCTTCCGCACATCCTGGCCAACGCTGTCGTTTTCTTGGGGGGAGCGGGTGTTTGGTTTTTGACGGCGGCCATTCTCATGGCTGCGAGATGGTATTTCATTGTGGTTCGGACTCGCGTTTCCCTAGTGATTAGTGATGCTGAGCATCTTGTGTTTCTTGCCATTTGAAGATTTTGCTTTGGAGGACTAGCTATTCAAGTCCTTTGCTCATTTAAAAAAAAATTTTTTTAATGTTTATTTATTTTTTTGAGAGAGAGAGACAGAGACAAAGCAAGGGAGGGGCAGAGAGAGAGGGAGACACAGAATCCCAAGCAGGCTCCAGGCTCTGAGCTGTCGGCACAGAGCCCGACGCGGGGCTCAGACCCATGCACCATGAGATCGTGACCTGAGCCGAAGTCAGACGCTTAACTGACTGAGCCACCCAGGCATCTGCCCCAAGTCCTTTGCTCATTTTTAATCCAGTTGTTTGGCTTTCTGTCGTTGATGTGCAGGAGTTCCTCATGTAGACTGGATATTAACCCCTTATCAGGTTTACGAGGCGCAAATATTTTCTCCTCTTCTGAAAGTTGCCTTTTCACTCTGTGGATCGTGTCCTTTGATGTGCAAAAGTTTTCAATTTTAATGTGATCCGATATATCTTGTTTTACTGTTACTGCCTGTGCTTTTAGTGTCAGATCCAAAAAAAATCATCGCCAAACCTGATGAAACTTTCCTCCTATGCTTTCTTCTAAGAGTTTTATAGTTTCCGCTCGGGAGGTTTTTCACACTGACGATTTTGGTATGTATTCCCTCAAAACAGACATTCCCTAACATAACTATACTTGAATTATCAAAATCAAGAAACTTAACATTGATACGAGACTATTATTTAATTTACTGTCTGTATTCACATGTTCTCACTTGTCCCCGTAAATGTCTTTTTTTTAGCTGTTTTCTTTCCTGGGCGAGGATCCAGTCCAGGATCACGAGCTGTAGTTAGTGGTCACATTTCTTTATTCTCTGTCAATCTGGAGAATTCCTCAAGCTTTGTCTTTCAGGACCTTGACAGTTTTGAAGACTGCAGGCCGGCTATTTTGTAGAATGTCTCTCAATTTGAACACAATTGGGTTAGATTGTATGTTTGGGGGGGAAGTGTCAAAGAAGTAATATTATGTCCTTACTGGTGCATCATAGCAGGAGACACATGTCAGTTCCTACCTTATTGACAATGCTAACTTTGATCGCTTGATTGAGGTGGTGTCTTTCATTGGTGATTTCATTTACGACGTTCACTGATGATTCTTGCCTGACTCAGCGTTTGCTGTCGTGTTTGCCAAATGGTGATTCCCTAACCCCATTCCTTCTACGGTTATTAGCTGCCATTCTAGTCTAAAAAAGAACTTTCCCAGGGCGCCTGGGTGGCTCAGCCGGTTGGGCGTCCGACTTCGGCTCAGGTCACGATCTAGCTGCCTGTGAGTTCGAGCCCCGAGTTGGGCTCTGTGCTGACAGCTCAGAGCCCGGAGCCTGCTTCAGACTCTGTGTCCCCCTCTGTCTCTGTTCCTCCCCTGCCTGTGCTCTGTCTGTGTCTCTCTCTCAAATAAAAAAAATGTATAAAAAAATTAAAAAGAGCTTTCCCCTCCTTCCCCTTTTTTACTTATTAATCTCTTTATATCAATACGAGCTCAAGAATTCTTATTTGACTCAATGGATTATAATCCCCTACCATCATCACTTATCTTGATGTTCAACTTGTCCATGGAGGGTTTTAAGTAGGGACATGACCTGCATTTTGTAAAGCTGCCCTGACTGCAGTGTGAGGGGCCCAAAGGCACAGGAACCAGTGAGAGGCTCTCATGGTGGTCTGGGGGAAGCAATGAGGACCTGAGCCGGGCAGTGGGGATGGGATTCTGAGGTTATAGGAAGCCAAAGGAGACCTCCTCATCTATGATGCAACCCCTCCTTCCCATCTCTCCTGGAGCCGCACTAACCTTGCGCACACACAAACCTAATTTAGTGCCCAGCACTTAGTAGGCACTCAAAAAAGACTGGTTCGTTGAATGCAGACATGCTCACATGCCTCAGTCACTTCAGCTGTGTGCCCACCCCCTGCTTCTCCCCGCATCTCGAGCTCCCATCCCACATTTGCCACTCCCCAACCCATTCTGGGTGCATTTCTCAGGGTACCTGAAAAAGCTGGGTCCTGTTCCAGAGGGAATGAAGGAAGCTGGAGGTGGGAAAGCAGACCACACCTCTGGGGTCTGCTTTCGGGGCCCAGCCCTGCTGCTATGTGCCTCGGTTTCCACATCATGGGTTTAAAGAGAGATCTTACCTCTCCTCTGGCTCCTGGACAATCCCAGGGTTAACGAATTCGGGGGCCGGAACCGGGTTTCCATTTTTGCTTCTGCTCTTGAGAGTTCAGGACCTTGGACAAAGTCATTAACATCTTGGGCTCTAATTTCTTCATCTGGAAGGTGGGGCTGATGACACCTCCCTGAAAGGACTGATAGGAGGATCAAATGGGATCCCCGTTATGAAAGCCATCTGCAAACTGTATGGGCGATGGCAGATTAAAAGGTCTATTAAGGACCTCCTGGGGGATTTCCAGCCTTTCAGAGTATACAGGCAGCAGCCAGGGCAACCAGCTGGGCAGGGTGGTGAAGCAGAGGGAGCAGATGTCTTCACCTGCCCCGGGGGGACGCTTGAGGGCCACCACCTCTTCTCCTATGGCCTCAGAGCTTCACAGGGACAAGACCAGGCATATCAAATGAGAATCGAGAGGTCTGCTTTGTTGACTGACGGTGACAGGGCCCTTGTCCCCTTGTGCCTGTCTGACTCTCTTCTCCCCAGTACATACCTCCCACCTCTCTCCTCCATCCAGGGCATTCACCTGTCTGGGGGCCAGCGACAGCGGGTGAGTCTGGCCCGAGCTGTTTACAGGGAAGCTGACCTTTTTATGTTGGATGACCCACTGTCAGCTGTGGACTCCCATGTGGCCAAGCATCTCTTTGACCAAGTCATAGGGCCCGAAGGCGTGCTGGCAGGCAAGGTGAGGCCTCCAGGAGGTTGTGGGGGAGGCACGGAGAGATCTAGGGCCTTAGGAGAGAAGCAGTGGGAGGCCAAGGGGTTTGGAGGAGACCTGGAGATATGGGAGGCCTGAGAAGAAGGAACGTCTGTTGGGTGGCAGGGGAAGCCCGGGGAGGGGGGACACACCCCAGGGGCACCGAGCCGGCTGCAGTGAGCCTGGGGTGAGGGGTGTGAGATGACTTTCACCCCTGTGCCGACGCCAGGGGTGTGTGTGCTGAGGTCAGTGGAAATGATGGCCTGCTGTCTTCTCCCCAGACACGGGTGCTGGTGACATACAGCATCAACTTCCTGCCCCAGATGGACTTCATCATAGTGCTGGCTGACGGGCAGGTGTCTGAGGCGGGCCCCTACCCCCTGCTGCAGCACAGCGGCTCCTTTGCCAACTTCCTCTGCAACTACGCACCTGACAAGCCTGAGAAGAACCTGAAGGAAGGCAGCAGGACCGGTAACCATCCCTGGCCCTCCACATTCCTGTGCCCTCCCGGCATCTCCCCTGTCTTGGGGTGCCTGTCGCTGGATGGGCCCAGTGTCACACAAGGGAGGTTCCGAGGAACTTCGACCATCTGCGTGACAATCAGACGTCACCAAGAGGGAAACCGAACTGGACGTAGTCAAGTGCCTCTCCCTTCTCTTGCCTGTGTGACCTTATCAGCAGCTCAGGCCTCAGAGCCCTACTTTTCCCTTGTGTCCGAAGGGCATAAGGGCCCGGGCCCGGGCCCAGCCTGAATGTCAAGGCTATCTCACAGAGAAGTCATTCGATAAATCTGCAAGTGCTTGGAGAAGTCAGTTAGTTACCAGCAAAGATGGACTGAGTAATTACTAGGTCCTAGCACTACTCTCGGCACTGAGAGATGGCCGTGGCCAAATGGAAAATTCCCTGTCCTCGTGGAGCGTTTTGAAGTCTCTGAGCCCAGAAACCCCCCACCCCCTTTGTTGTCCAGTCCTGGCTCCCCAACGCCAAACCCTGGGCTGGCCCACAGATCTTTTCCTGAGTTTTCTTGCCTACTGCTGTATAGACAGCTAACATGACTTGAACATTTACTAAGTGCTGGGCCCCTTGCTAAGCACTTGACACACATATCTTCCCTTTAATCCTCCCAGTCACAATGACACGATCAAGTGGGTACTATTATTATCCCCATTTTACTTGCCTGCCTAAAGTCAGGCAGGGAGGAAGTGACATTTAAGCTCAGCCAGTCTGCCTCCAGAGCCCAAGCCCCTGACCCTTATATTTGAGGCCCCTTCTCCATAGCCCCTGCAGGGAAGTTTTTCTCCGTATCTAACCTAAGTCTTTCTTGCTGCCTTTCCCTCCCCCTCCCCCAGCCCAAAACTGATCGTTTACTTCCGTTCTTGTTCTTGGCTGCCCTTTCGTGTTCTCTCGTGCTTCTCGTGTTCTCTCAGGCTGGTCCACTCGGGTCTCTTCTCTGGCGTGGGGATCGGGGAGCACTAGCGGCTTGCAGGGCGAGCTAGCCAGCCGCTTCTCCTTTCTCCCACCCTGCTGCAGGCCCCCAGCAGTCCCGGGGCTCACGAGAGTCCTCTGTCCTTGACCGCCATGGCCTGCAGGTGGAGCTGAGTGTGTTCTGGGATTATGCCAAGGGCATGGGGCTCTATACCATAGTGGCCATCTGTCTTCTGTACCTGGGTCATAGTGCGGCTGCCATCGGGGCCAGCGTGTGGCTCAGTGCCTGGAGCGATGAGGCTATGGTGGATGACCGACAGAATAACACCTCCGTGAGGCTGGGTGTCTATGCTGCCTTGAGTGTTTTGCAAGGTGAGCGTGCAGAGACAGCCGGAGGTATTTTCCTCACGTCGGAGGTGCTGGATCCCTCAAACGATGCCCTTGACTCTGTGTTTTCTTCCATCATCCCAGCCATTGCCTGGCCCCAGTGCCTCCCTAATCCACCCTAGCAGTCCACCTGCCTCTGGGCCTCTCCAGCTCATCCCAGCAGTGCTCTGTCTCTGAGCCTGCCAGCCACCGTGGCCACCCCCTACCTCCTAACCTTGCCCTGCATGCCCGCCGCCTGGCCAGTGAATAAGCACCCCTCCGCCTCCTCCAGCAGGGCTCCTGGTGATGGTATCAGCCATCACGCTGATGGTGGGGAGTGTCCAGGCTGCACGCTCGCTTCACCGGGTGCTGCTGCACAAGATGCGCTGGCCAGTCCTTCTTCCATACGACGCCCTCAGGCCGGATCCTCAACCGGTTCTCTAAGGACATTTACGTCATCGATGAGGTTCTGGCCCCCACCATCCTCTTGCCGCTGAATTCCTTCCACAACTCCATCTCCGCCTTCGTGGTCATCATAGCCAGCACGCCGCTCTTCACTGTGGTCACCCTGCCTCTGGCTGTCCTGTACATCACGGTGCAGGTCCGCAGCCAGCGAGGGGGCGTGGTTTTTGTGTAGGCGTGGCTCTCCGGAGGCGGTGGTGTGGGCGGGGCTCTCTGTGGGTGGGGCGCTGGTGTGGGCGGGGCTCTCGTATGGACTGGCCACCGGGGTCGGGACCCAGGGACCTTGCAGCTGGATTTGGTTAGGGACTGTAGTCGGTTACTTTACGTCTTTGAAATTCATTTTCCTCACCTGTAAAATAGAATCCTGGAACCTACATAGGGTTGTTGTTAGGGTAAAATGAAATCTTTGTAAATTGTGACTGACCCTGAAACTCCTTCCTGCTGCCTATTTTTTCTTCTGAAGTTTTGAGACAGGGAGAGCGAGCAGGGGAGAGGCAGAGAGAGAGGGAGAGAGAGCATCCCAAGCAGGCCCCACACTGTCAGGGAGGGTGGAGCCCGATTCAGGGCTCGAACTCACGAACCGTGAGATCACGACCTGAACTGAAATCAAGCATAGGACGCTTATTAGGCTGAGCCACCCAGGCGACGCCCCCACCCCGCCCTGCCGCTGCCTATTTTTAAATAAAATATTGTTAACCGTGCGAGACACATTATCCTTCCCTTCTTTTAGACATATCTAAACATATATGTGCATATATGTGTTTAACATAGATGATTTGGTAACATTCAGTTACAGCTGATTGTAGAAGTCCTTTGCGTTTCTGAGCCCCTGTCCTTCCATGAGTTTAATCAGTTGATGAAGGTAACCCACAAGGTGGCTGGAAGCTCAGGCCCTTGTGGGGAGTCCCCGATCTGGGCTGTGTTCTGTGCAGGGACAGGAGACTCTCAGATACCCATCCTGTAAGGCCCTGGCCATCTTGGGGCCCACAGGATGGAAACTGGAGGCAGAAACATGTTTTTGTGGGGCTGAAGTTTTAGAAAACTGGAGCTGGGGTGGGGAAAAGCTCTTTACGCAAAAGAATACAAAATGATCTTATTTTTGCAAATCTTGTGATATTCTGTGTGAGCACCTTGCTGGGACCCCTCAGTGGAGACAGGCACGTTCACTGATTTAGGAGGCCACGCAAGGTCCGTACTGCAATCCAGGCCCCTACAGGGGGGTAAGGGGTCAGGAGCTGAGAGGGATTCAGGAAGGGCTTCGTGGAGGAAGTGGCCTGGAAGATTGAGCAGAGCCGACCAAAGGGAAAGGGTGGAATGAGTTCATGGAGCCACAGGTAGGGAAAGGTAGCCAAGTCTTATGGGTAAGGGGGCTGGCCAGAAGAAGGCCCACATGAGTTCACAGGGCATGCCGGACTGAGTCAGGGGTCCTACGGTGCTGACCCCAAGCTCTTTCTCCGTCCTCTGCCAGCGCTTCTATGTGGCTACGTCACGGCACCTGAAGAGGCTGGACTCCGTCAGCCGCTCGCCCATATACTCCCACTTTTCAGAGACGGTGACTGGCACCAGCGTCATTCGGGCCTATGGCCGCAGCCAGGACTTCAAGGCCATCAGTGATGCTAAGGTGGACACCAACATGAGGAGCTCCTACCCCTACGTTGCCTCCAACAGGTCACAAGCCTCTTCCCTCAGCCCCTGTTCCTCCAAGAGTTCCCACCAGGGTCTCTGCAGGACAGACCCTGGAGTTCTGGGTTCCGGCTCTCCCCCCTACACAGGAAACTGCCCCCTTCCTGTACCTGCCCCACTTCCTCCTTGTCTTGTTCCCACAGGTGGCTGTGGGTCCACGTGGAGTCCGTGGGGAACTGTGTTGTGTTCTTTGCTGCACTCTCTGCTGTGATTGGCAGAAACAGCCCGAGTCCGGGGCTGCTGGGCCTTTCTGTGTCCTACGCCCTACAGGTACGCAGGGGTCCGGGCCCCGGGGCGGGGGCCACAACTGGGGCAGAGACAACACAGGTGTCACAAGCATCTCCCGAGCTTTCGCTCTGCCCAGTATGGGGACCAGCCACGGGTTCTGCTCACCAGGACCGTGAGCCCACAGTCAGGCATGGAGAGACACTCTCAACCAACAGGGGATTGTAATGCCGGGTGAACAGGTCTTTGTGGAGGAAGGAACAAAATGTGGTAAGACCCCGGAGGAGATTCTCTACCTTGGGTGTTGGCGTTGGAGAAATTATCTTGGCGCCAAAGGACAAACAGAGCTTGTCCGGCCTGTGCATGAGATTTAGAAGGTCAACAACCCTGACAGCAGTCCTGGGGCAGGGAAGCAGAGGGCTGGAATATACCTCATTTCACAAGCCTGCAGAGAATGTACACAGAGAAGGTGACTGGAGCCTGGAGTAGAGGGCGGGCTGGTCACCTGACATCAGCCTGTGTTATCAAAGGCTTAAATAACTACAAATGGTGGTGCGCCTGGCTGGCTCAGTCGGTGGAACGTGCGACTCTTGATCTCGGGGTCGTGAGTTCAAGCCCCACGTTGGGTGTAGAGATCACTTAAAAAATAAAATCTTAAATGACTGCAAATGGCATTTTTGTGACTTAGATCACATTTTCAATGCCTCAGAGGGCTGAAGCCTTGAATGCTTTGGTAAACAAAGGACAATCTAGACAAATGAGTCTTCTCAAGCTTTCCTGTGTTATGAATCACCTGGAATGTGGGTTCTGATACAGCAGGCCCAGGGTGGGGCTCAGGATTCTGCATGCCTATCAAGACTCCTTGGCACGCAGTGTGGTCCAGGGACCGGTTACATCAACATCACCATCTGACTCTTGGTTTCAGCTCAGGTCACAATCTCATGAACTGGGAGATCGAGCCCCATGACGGGCTCTGTGCTGACAGCACAGAGCCTGCTTGGGATTCTCTCTGTCTCTCTCTGTCTCAAAATAAGATTTAAAAAAATACAAAATCTCAAGTCCCACCACAGACCTACTGAATCATAAGCGACGTTTTAACAAGATTCTCTGGGGAACCTTTCTTATACACGTTAAAGTTTGAGAAACATTGGGCTAGGTAGTCCTTGGTTAAGTCTGCAAGGTCACTGCCTGAGATACAGGTGTGATAGAGCCCCAGGTGGCACACCTATGGGCTTGCCCAGGCTCACCTGGGGCGTAGAGGCAAGGAGCATAATCAGGGAGTCGGAACTCCTCCCATAGCTGTTGGGGGGAGGGGAGATCACCGTATCCATGACCCAGTCCCTTTGGCCAGATAACAATTAGTCTGACGTGGATGATCCAAATGATGTCAGACTTGGAGTCTAACATCGTGGCCGTGGAGAGAGTCAAGGAGTACTCCAAGATAGAGACTGAGGTGGGTACTAGGATGAGCCTTGGGCAGGGCGATTCTGGAATAGCTGGGGAAGGGTGCTTGGTGGCCCATCGTCCCTACATCCCAAGACCAGCTCTTCATTTGGGGGATTCTTCATTCATTCATTCATTCATTCATCCACTCAACCCTTATCGAGCATCAGCCAGAGGTCTATGCTAGGAGGTGAAGAGGGTCCAGAGTTGAGCATGGTGGGTCTCTCTTCAAGCAGATTCTGATGTTGTGGGAGAGGGAAGACAGGGCTCTGATAAGAGCCCTGGAGTGATGCACCCAAAGAGGGCGGACAAGAGGAAGGTCATTCAGCTGGGGTATTCAGGAGGGTCAGGACCCCAGCCAGAGATTAGCCAGTGGAAGGAGCAGGGGTGGGGCAGCATGGCCTTTGTTGGGGAAAGGGAGTTGTCCCCTATGGCGGCGGGGAGATGCAGACTTTTCTCCACTTACTTCTTCCTGTGGTCACACCCCAGACCTCTTCACACTCGGCAGCTGCAGCATCTCTGAGATCTCAAGTCAAGCTTTTAAACCACCCTTCCCAGTCCTCCCAGCTCACGTGCCCCAAACCCTCTGCTGTCCCAGAACTTTGTCGTCGTTAGGACCCCCAACCCTGTGGCCTACCTTTGTCCCTCTGTCCCCCAGGTCATCTAGCCCGGGTTCTGTGCTCCACCGGTGCCGATGCTCCCGACTCCCTTGACCTCCTTTCTGTCAGTGGTCCTCGCCTACAAAACCCCTCCCCAGCCGGGCCCCTCTGTCTACCTTCTACATGCTGACACTCAGCAGCTAAGACATCGCTGGAGAAAATCACTGATTTTCCTTCCGGTTTGTGACCACACATCACTGCTGGGTATTTCTATTTTGCTTCCCCCAAAAGCATGTGATCCCACTTCCAGAAAGAGCCATTTGAACCTTCTTTCCTCAAACCCCCCATATTTCCTCCCCTTTGCTCAGCCATGGACCTTGTGTGACTTACTTGCCCGTGAGAAAAATAGGGTGTGAGATGTGAACCCCCTCAACCTTCTCGCCTCCAGACTTTCCAGCTGCCTGTGGTCCCTTCACCTCTTCCTTCCTCTTTTAGCAGGAAGTGTCCCTCCTGCTACCAAAGTCCACCCCTGCAGACTTCACCCCCCTCATTACACCCTCTGCTTCCTACAGCCTGTTCCCTCTGTTGGATGATTCCCATTCACTGGCAAACACGAGCTATCATAGCATCCGTCCTGCACACACACACCCACCTCCCCTCCCCCTTACATCTCACGGCCCCGTCTCTCTGCTCTCCTTTGTCACGAAGCTTGTTTTATTTTTTTTTTTATTTTTATTTTTAAAAAAAAATTTTTTTTTCAACGTTTA